ATCTCCAACGTTCTGTCTCTTCCTGCTCTGATGCGGGCAGTCCTTGCCGAAATGGCCTCGACCTCCACATCGTAGGCATATCGTCTCTTCTGTAGCTCTCGGCGGTGACTGAGGTGGTCCACGTCCGGCTGCGCCCTTGCCGTAGCTGCTTGCGATGTGGGTTTTGCCGCGTCCCTGTGACGCCGTCGCCCGTCCGGACGCTCTCCCTTTTGACGCGCCTCGCGCAGCGCCTCGACCTCTGCCAACGGCAGAAGCTCGAGGCGTGATAACTGGTGCCGTGCTCCTCGAAGATGGCGGTGCCATCGCCACGACTGGGTAGAAACCTCTGGCCAACCTCATGTCGTTCATCTTCTGTCTCGCGTCCGCGTATGCCGCCATGATATCGTCGTACTGCTCCACATCAAACGCCTGGTCTGGAACGGAGGCGTTGATCGTCGCCTCCTCGCTGTTGTTGGCCGCCTCCGCGTCAAAGCTGGGGCCTGCCTCCTGGTGGCCCTCGCCGCCGTCGTCGTAGTAGTGTTCCTCGTCGTCGCCTCCGTAGTAGACGTCGTCCTGCTCATCGAACTCCTCGTATTCGTCCACGTTGTAGGCTGCTGCTCCCGAACTCGCTCGACATCTTGGCATCGAATCTAGGCCGAACGTTTTCTTCAACTCGCCCTCGGCCTTGTCCAAAGCTAGGTTGCCGCCGACCTGGTTCATCAGGAGCTGCTTGCCCTCTTTGTCCAAACCTGCCCGCCGCGACAGAAACCAGCCGAGCACTCTGTCTGGCAAAGCCACAGTGCGTGCTCGAGCCTTCCTTTCCGATGTCCGAAACCTCGTCAAGTAGTCAATCAAGGTCTCCTTTGGCTCGCGGCCGGCCTTGAAGAAGAAATTCTCGAAGTCTGTCGGGAGCCTTGTGATCTGATCGTACTTGTATGCCTGGTCGAGCGCCAGGATGATGGTCTGCCAACCTTTCTCCTTCTCGATCTCTGCGATCTCGACGTCCTCGACCGCCCCCCACGCTTGGCCCCACAGGCCTTGCATTATCTCGAGCCCTACTCCTTTCTCCTGCTCGCGTCCGCGAGCTCTCGCCGCAAAGATCTCCACCTTCTTCCTGAACGTCTTGTAGCCATCGATGGAGCCGTCGAATCCTGAGGGCGGCTGTCCGTCATCTCGTCCTGCTGCTCCTGCCGCACCTCGTCCCCCGCCAGGCGGTCTCATGGGTGATAACTGTCGTCCGTGAATAGATCGCTCCAGCTACCAATGTGAATTGCTCGTCGCTCTCGAAGTCGACAAACTCGGTATCGAAATCCGATCTCGTATCACTGCCAGATCGCTCTCGCACTCGTGCTCGCTATCGCTCCGCGCGCGAGGGGAGTGATGGTATCCTTTTTGGTCAGTCGAAAGGCCTCTCGAGCTCAAACGGCAGTAGTCCTGCGCACAACTTTACAAACAATCGTGCTTGCCGCATGCTATCTTACGCAGCCGGCACTGGCCCGCACAACTTTACATACAATCGTGCCTCCTCTACTGCTCTGCTTGCTGAGGGGGAGGGGTAGTATCTAACAGTATTCTGTAAGAAACCCTCGAAACATCCATTGTATGGAGTACAATTCGCAGCCCCCTATGGGGCCACGAAAAGTGTGAGGGGTGTGCCACACTGGGTGTGGCGGAAGCATGTGGACGGTGCCACTGTGTCCTTGGGTGGAATTCCCGATGGGGCCACGAAACGTGTGAAGGGTGTGCCGAACTGTGCGTGTCGGGCGCACTGGACGGCGCCCTTGAGGCCTTGGGTGGAGCCCCCGATGGAGCCACGAAACGTGTAAGGGGTGTGCCGGAGTGGGGGGGGGCAACGCATGTGGACGGTGCCCCTGGGGCCTTGAGTGGAGCCCCCATATGGGGCCACGAAACGTGTGAGGGGTTTGCCGAAATCGGTGTGGCGGACGCATATGGGCGGTGCCACTGGGGCCTTGGGTGGAGCCCCCTATGAGGCCAAGAAACGTATGAGGTGTGTGCAGACATGGGTGTGGCGGACGCGTGTGGACGGTGCCACTGGGGCCTTGGGTGGAGCCCCCTCATGGGGACACGAAGCGTGTGAGGGGTGTGCCGAAATGGGTGTGGCGGACGCGTGTGGAAGGCGCCATTGAGGCCTTGGGTGGAGCTCCCTATGGGGCCACGAAACGTGAAGAGGATGAGGAAGAGGAGGAGGAGGAAGAGGAGGAGGAGGAGGAGGAAGGACATAATGCAAGGAGGAAGGGAGGAAGGAGGAAAACGCGGGGGGGCGCTGTCTCTTCACAATGAAGACCCCATACCACAGGATGGTTGAGAAAAGCAGTACCAGCAGTAAAGGGGGGAGGGTGCGACCACTTAAATGTGATCACGAACCACATTCTGCGACATCCGCACAATCGAAGGTGTGAACAACGGCACGACGACATCCTTCGCTCGACGTGACACACCGAAGGCACACGCCCACCTGGCCATACCCAGCAAAACACGAGAATACTGAGACGACTCGGACCAGTGGTCGACCCCCCCCCGCTCAAACATTAGCCAGGCGAAGGACCCAACCATATGCAGCTGTGAATAACGCAATTGTTGGTATCGCCTTCGGTGGATCCCCGTTGTAGGGCACCGAAACGTTGTAATTGGTGGGAGAAACGCATGCGGACTGCGCCACTGGAACCTTCGGTGGGGCCCCCTATGGGGCCACGAAGCGCCGTCCTGGGTGGGGGAGGCGCATGCGGGTTGCGCCACTGTGACCTTCGGTGGAGCCCCCTATGGGGCAACGGAACGCTGTACTCAGTGGGGGAGACGCATGCGGGCTGCGCCGCTGTGACCTTCGGTGGGGCCCCCAATGGGGCCACGTAGCGCTGTACTGGGTAGGGGGAACGCATGCGGGCTGCGCCACTGGGACCTTCGGTGGAGCCCCTTTATGGGGCCACGAAGCGCCGTCCTGGGTGGGGGAGGCGCATGCGGGTTGCGCCACTGTGACCTTCGGTGGAGCTCCCTATGGGGCAACGGAACGCTGTACTCAGAGGGGGAGACGCATGCGGGCTGCGCCGCTGTGACCTTCGGTGGAGCTCCCAATGGGGCCACGTAGCGCTGTACTGGGTAAGGGGAACGCATGCGGGCTGCGCCAGTGGGACCTTCGGTGGGACTCCCTCTGGGGCCACGAAGCGCTGTACTGGGTGTGAGAAACGCATGCGGGCTGCGCCACTGGGACCTTAGGTCGAGCTCACTATGGGGCCACGAAGCGTTGCACTTGGAGTGGCGGGCGCGTGCGGGCACCCCCACTGGGGCCTTCGGTGGAGCCACCTTATGCGGCCACGAAGCGTTGTACTGGGTGTGGCGGACGCATGCGGGCACCCCCGCTTGGGCCTTCGGTGGAGCTCCCAACGGGGCCACGGAACGCTGTACTGGGTGTGGCGGACGCATGCGGGCACCCCCAGTGGGGCCTTCGGTGGAGCTCCCTATGTTGCCACGAAACGCTGTACTGGGTGTGGCGGACGCATGCGGGCACCCCCACTAGGGCCTTCGGTAGAGCCCCCCTTCCAGGGCTACGAAAAGCTGTATTGGGTGTGGCGGACGCGTGCGGGCACCCCCACTGGGGCCTTCGTTGACACTCAGTATGGGGCAATGAAACGCGGTATTGGGTGTGGCGGACGCATGCGCGCACCCCCACCGGGCACGAAACGCTGTACTGAGTTTGGCGGGCGCATGCGGGCACCCCCGCTGGGGCCTTCGGTGGAGTTCCCTATGGGGCTGCGGAGCGGTGTTTTGGGTGTGGCGGGCGCGTGCGGGCACCCCCACTGGGGCCTTCGGAAGAGCTCCCTATGGGGCCACGAAACGCCGTACTGTGTGTGTGGCGGACGCATGCGGTCATCCCCACTGGGGCCTTCGGTGGAGCTCCCAATAAGGCCACGAAGCGTGTGAGGGGTGTGCTGAAACGGGTGATGACGATGATGGTGATGATGATGCGAATGCTGATGCTGATGATGATGATGATGATGATGATGATGACGAGGAGGAGGAGAGGAGGGGGCAGCAGGAGGAGGAGGAGGAGTGAACGCGGGGCGCTGTCTCTTCCAACACCACAGAACGGTTGAGGAGACGAAGAGGAAACACATTAGCCTGGAGAGGGACCCAACCATGTGCAACTGAGAACACCGCAGTCGTGAGTGTCATCTTCGGTGAAGCCCCCTTCGGGGCCACGGAACGTGTGAGGGGTGTGCCGACATGGGTGTGGCGGGCGCATGTGGACGGTGCCACTGGGGCCTTGGGCGGAGCCCCCTTATGGGGTCACGAAGCGTGTGATGGGGTGTGCCGAAATTGGTGTGGCGGACGCATGTGGACAGTGCCACTGGGGGGGCCTTGGGTGGAGCTCCTTATGGGGCCACGAAGCGTGTGAGAGGTGTACCGAAATACATGCGGCGGGCGCATGTGAACGGTGCCACTGGGGCCTTGGATGGAGCCCCCTATGGGGGGGCCACGAAGCGTGTGAGGGGTGTGCCAAAATGGGTGCGGCGGACGCGTGTGGACGGCGCCACTGGGGCGAGCGAGCGAGCGAACGCGCGACCAACGGGTCCGGAGACCCGGCCCTGAGCAGGGCGGCGCGGAAGGGCCTCAGCCCTCAGTTCAGGTAGTTCTTGATGCTGTCTGTCCAGCGTTTTCGCGGGCCTTCTGGCCTGCGCACGCAGCCGGCGGGCTCCTAGTTGTACACGACCTGCGCCCATGATGAACTCTCAGATGTCATCTGCTGCTCCCACTTGACTGCTGACTTTCGGTGTTCCGCGATCCAATCACGAAACCCCAATGTGGTAACCCGCGCCTCCGCTTCGGACGTCGTTCGTTGGATAAACACAAGCCACGGTCAAGACAAACGCTCTCATTCTCATCGTCGTGAGTGCCGCAGCTGGTATTCCCATTAGAAGAACAAAATGAGTGCAACGAAGGTGCTGATGAAGAAGAAAAAGAAGAAGCTCGAGTCGGAGAGATTTTGCGCCTGGCCGTGCGCACGATCATGCGCAACATCTTTCTTTGTGTTCTTCTGACCTTCTCTTCAAACTCGTGTGTAAGTACCAGGTAGCCGAACCATACAGCATCGTTGTCGTCACAGTGCGGTCAAACAACCTGAGCCAGGAGGCCAACGAGTACTGGCGATCAACTAATTCTGCCCTGTGTGTCATGAAAGATTTCCACGCACTCCGGATGCGATTCTCAATCTCCACGTCGTGGGGGCGATCGAAGCTAACGAGACGCCCAAGGTATTTCACGCTGCCGCTGTAAGGGACGAGCTCGATGCTCATGCCGTCCACGTGCACGTTCGCCTCTTTCGGTCTCCCACTGCCGCGCTCCACATTACTCTGAATATTCGTCCTGTCCGGGTGCAGCTCGAGACCAACTTCGGCCGACGCGATCTTGATATCCTCGATCATGGCCTTGAGCTGTCGTAGAGTGGCGGCGACAAGGAGGATGTCGCCAGCGAGTCGCAAGTTCGTCAGCTGCGTGAGGTCCGTGGCACCCTTCTTCAAGCCGCAACCCTTGGCCAACCACTTCTGCTTGAATTTGCTCACAACAGTCTCAATGAGAGAATTAAACAAGAGAGAGCTTAGAGGGTCGCCTTGTTTGGTTCCGCGCTGAAAGTCGTAGGGCTTACTCATGCAGTCCGTTCGTACTCTGGCTGTCTGCCCTGAATATAGATTCTGGAGAAGGGATACATATCCAGCAGGAACTCCCTGATCAGCAAGAGAACGCCACATAAAGTTGTGTTCAACACAACCAAACGCCTTCTTGAAGTCCAGCGCTGAAAGCCATACGTGATGCTGCCATTCGTGGCACTGTTCTTGAAGAAGAGATACAGCAAACATATGGTGAACAGTGCCGAAGCCTTTCCTGAAACCAGCCTGGTCCTTGTTATGGTGCCTGTCGAGAAGTGGGTAAAGCCTACCGTGCACGAGTTCGGCAAACAGCTTGTACAGCAGCGGGATAATAGTGATTGGCCCGATTTCTTCGGGTCCGCTGCATCTCCGGATGTGTGCAATACCGTCACCACGGAGTGCCTGCAGGACTCGGGCGAAGGCGCCGTCGGCGAGATCCAACAAGAGAGTCTCCAGTGTGTCTCCGCCGTGCTTGAACATCTCTGCGCAAATCCCGCCCTGGTCACAACACTTACCTACCAGTCTTAAGGCTACGCAGTTGCACCCGCAATTCGTCAATTGTGAACGGAGCAATGACCCCAGGCGCTGGCTGGAGCCTGGCGGCGTCCGCCTCTTGGGAGGCCGGTGAAGAAGCGTAGAGCTCGGCGCAAAAGTCCGCGAACACATCAGCAGTTCTCTGACGTTTTGTCTGGGTCTCGCCGTTGCTGTCCTTCATGTGCGTGATGAGTTGCCTCTTCTTGACAGACTTAATGACTGGGATGCGCTTCGTGTCCCGGAGCGTGGTCCAAATATCTCGAATGCGCGTTCAAATATTTGTCCTCCGCGGACGCCAGACGGCTTTGCGAATCTTCTTGCTCAATGCTGCCCGTTGTGCTCCGTCCTGGTTGCTGCACTCTCTTCTTTCTGCGAGAAGACACTGTATTTCCGCACCATCGACTCGAAGCTGGCGCCGGTCATTCCAGTCATCCCGTGCACGCGCAATCGAATCAACCAAAACAGCCGTGATCATCTTGCAGTCCTCGCCCGGGTTCGAGTTGAGCTCCACAGCGCCACAGGCGATGCGAACTTCATCCATGAAGCGCTCGGGGTCGACATTCTTCCACGAAGTCCGCTGCTTGTCACCTGGCTTCTTCGTTTTGGGCTTGAGCTTCCTGGCACGACGTAGTTTGATGACCACGGGCTTGTGATCCGAGCCCATGTTCAATAGATCACTGGAGCACGAATCAACAACATTTGGCAAAAGACTGAAGTCCACGAGGATGTAATCAATTTGTCTCAAATTACCATTCAGCCCACAATGCGTAACCTTGAAAAGGCGGCCTCTTTGAGAAACACGTGTTTGTAATGCGGGGTCTTTCGGTACACGCCCACGCTGTCAACCAATGACCTCTACAATTCAACTCCTTCGTGCCGTATGGACCCAGACACTTCTCGACGTCGCCGTCCTCTCTGCTTACGGCCTGCGCGTTGAAATCCCCCGCAAGGATAAAGTGCACGTGTTTGCGCCTGGCTTCCCAACGTAATTCAGATATTGTGTCGTATGAGGTCTGCACGTGGAGATCAACATAACCACTCTGTTGATCAAGACTGCTACTCCCCTCGTTCCCTTGTCGCCACCACTGCCTGCAAACATATGCCCACCATCGCATACAAAATATTTGCTGGCAGCAGGACGACATGTCTCACATAAAGCAATGAAGTCCCAACTGAACGATTCGAGTTCGCACAGTAATTCTTCAAGCCGGCTGTCAAGCATCAGTCCCCTGACGTTGAAATGGGAAATATTCAAATTACGTTCACCCCTCTCCTCAGAACTGGCTTTTGCTTCGCCCGATGTGTTGCTGGTTAGGTGCTTTACGTTTCGTAAAGATGCCAATGGGAAATCACCACACGCGCCTCCATAAAATCCCCTGCCACCCCCGCAACTTTGAAGTTCATGATGAGATTGTCCTTCCCCGGGTACGCTGCGATTGGCCCTCGCTGGAGAGCCTTCTACTTTTTTTCTGGCACCAACCTTGTCGGACCATGTGCTCGACTCATGTACTCCTCCACGCCCGCCTTCACCTTCAATCCCTTGCCTTTGTACTTCATCTCGCTCCCCTCGTACCAAGCCACAGTGTCACCAGCAAGCTTGACGAGGTCTTCCCCCCACTTGATCTTCATGCTTTTCAGGTCGTGGCTCGTCTCCTGAAATTGATGCTTAACCTGCCTCAAATGCTTTGTCGATGGCTCATTTCTGCAAGCTGTCGCTGTCCGTGAAATACATGTCGTTGCCATTAGCTCACTTGATATCAGAAAGCCTTGCTTTTTGAGAAACCCTATTTTCGATGCAATGGTCTTGAATTCAATCGCTCCAACCCCAGACGGGTCCGAGAATACAAATCCCTGTTCAACCTTGGCCTCCGCGCCAAGCTGCTTGACCGTATCCCGCACCTGCTTGATCACGGCGTCCTCGTCCTGGTCCTCCTTCAAGCCCTTCGCGATCACCTGCAATTCGCGGATTCCCCGGGAGATAGCCTTGATGTTGTCGTCCTGCGCGGGTGTAGTAGGTGGTGGAGCCCCAGCAACAATACCTTGTACCAATTGCGGTAACTCTGCGCGAAGAGATTTCATGTCCGCTTTAACCCTCTCGACATCAGATTGCACGTTCACAACCTCCGCCAGCGCCCGCCCGGCCGTGTCGCTAGCTATCTGGGCTGTCTCCTTCATCTCGTTCATTCGCTCCTGCATGTTGGCCATCATGTCGAACATATTATCGATCTTCTGTTCCTGAGTGAACCGTTCACCCTTGTTTCTTCCACTCTGGAGAAGCAATCGTCCCAGGACCCTCCTTTGGTTTCCGGGCTGGGGAAGACATGTCTCCGGCTTCGGCAAGACGGTCCTAGCTTGCTTTCGCCCTCGCTTGAACCTAGTGCCACTGGGGACTTCGGTGGAGCTCCCTATGGGGCCACGAAGCGAGTGAGAGGTGTGCCGAAATGGGAATGCGGACGCATGTGGACGGTTCCACTGGGGCCTTCGGTGGAGCTCCCTATGGGGCCACGAAACGTGTCAGGGGTGTGCCGAAATTGGTGTGACGGACGCATGTGGACGGTGCCATTGGGGCCTTCGGTGGAGCTACCTATGGTGCCACGAAGCGTGTGAAGGGTGTGCCGAAATGTGTGCGGGGTGCGCATGTGGACGGTGCCACTGGGGCCTTGGGATGGAGCTCCCTATGGGGTCACGAAGCGTGTGAGGTGTGCCGACATGGGTGTGGCGGTCGCATGTGGCCGGTGGCACTGGTGCCTCGGGTGGAGCTCTTTATGGGGTCAGGAAACGTCTGAAGAGTGTGCCGAAATGGGTGTGACGGACGCGTGAAGACGGTTCCACTGGGGCCTTCGGCGGAGCTCCCTATGGGGCCACGAAACGTGTCAGGGTTGTGCCGAAATTGGTGTGACGGACGCATGTGGACGGTGCCACTGAGGCCTTGCGTGGAGCTCCCTATGGGGCCACGAAGCGTGTGAGGGTTGTGCTGAAATGGGTGTGGCGGACGAATGTGACCTGTGCCATTGGGGCCTTCGGAGCTTCCTATGGGGCCACGACACGTGTGAAGGGTGTGCCGACATGGGTGTGGCGGTCGCATGTGGCCGGTGGCACTGGTGCCTTGGGTGGAGCCCCCTATGGGGCCACGAAGCGTGTGAGGGGTGTGCCCAAGTGTGTGTGTGTGAGAGAGAGAGAGAGAGAGAGAGTTTGTGTGTGTGTGTGTGTGGCGGCGTGGGCCGAGCTCCTTCTGGAGCCACGAAGCGTGTGAGGGGTGTGCCAGCACTGGTGTGGCGGACGCATGTGGACGATGCCATTGGGGCCTTGGGTGGAGCTCCCTATGAGGCCACGACACGTGTGAGGGGTGTGCCGAAATGGGTGCGGGGGGCGCATGTGGACGGTGGCACTGGGGCCTTGGGTGGAGCTCCCTATGGAGCCACGAAAGGTGTGAGGGGTGTGCCGAAATAGGTGTGGCGGACGCATGTGGACGGTGCCAGTGGGGCCTTCGGTGGAGCTATGGGGCCACGAAACGTGCGAGTAGGAGGAGGAGGAGGAGGAAGAGGAGGAGGCGGAGGAGGAGGAGGGAATGGGAATGTCTGTTCACTAAGTGAAAAGGCGGAGGAGGAGGAGGAGTGTGGAGGAGGGGGAGGAGGAGGAGGAGGAGGAGGAGGAGGAGGAGGAGGAGGAGGAGGAGGAGGAGGAGGAAGGAAGGAAGGAAGGAAGGAAGGAAGGAAGGAAGGAATGAGGAGAGCGCGGGGCGCTGTTTCTTCACCACAGGATGGCTGGGAACAAAATAAGAAGACACACCATCCTTTAAAACGCAGGGGAACGATTCGACTGTGGAACCCGTTCTTCCTCCGCATCCCCTCCTCATTCCAAGCGGCACCTCGAGCATCTCGTCAGTGTCCATGTGACCCAGGAAATCGTCGATGCTCATGGGAAGGGGTGGCGGCGGTGCCTCCACGCCCGTGGCGGTTTTCTCCCTCACGTTGCTCGTGCCCTTGCTCTTGGCCATGTTGATGGTGATGTCCTCCTCCTCGGACGCACTCCCCCGATCTGAACTGATCTACGGCCTCTTGTTCCACTTTCTGTGCGTATGTATAACTGTTCCTACATTCGATGTGCTTGTTAGCCTGGCCAGCCCAGGAATAAAATCAGCCTGGCGAATGATCAAGCCATGTGCAGTTGTGAGTTCCGCAATCGTGAACGTCCTGTTCGGTGGCGCTCCCTATGGGGTCACGAAACGTGTGAGGGGTGTGCCAGCACTGGTGTGGCGGACGCATGTGGACGATGCCATTGGGGCCTTGGGTGGAGCTCCCCATGGGGCCACGAAACCTGTGAATGGTGTGCCGAAATGGGTGTGGCGGACGCATGTGGACGGTGCCACTGGGGCCTTCGGCGGAGCTCCCTATGGGGCCACGAAACGTGTGAGGGGTGTGCCGAAATGGGTGTGGCGGACGCATGTGGACGGTGCCACTGGGGCCTTCGGCGGAGCTCCCTGCCACGAAACGTGTGAGGGGTGTGCCGAAATGGGTGTGGCGGACGCATGTGGACGGTGCCACTGGGGCCTTGGGTGGAGATCCTTATGGGGCCACGAAATGTGTGAAGGGCGTGCCGAAATGGGTGTGGCGGACGCATGTGGACGGTGGCACTGGGCCTTGGGTGGAGCTCCGTAAGTGACCACGAAACGTGTGAGGGGTATGCCGAAATGGGTGTGGGGATGCATGTGGACGGTGCCACTGGGGCCTTGGGTGGAGCTCCCTATGGGGCCACGAAAAGTGTAAGGGGGTGTGCCGAAATGTGTGTGGCGGACGCATGTGGACGGTGGCGCTGGGGCCTTCGGTGGAGCTCCCTCTGGGGCCACGAAACGTGTGAGGGGTGTGCCAAAGTGAGAGGGGTGACGGGAGGAGGGAGGAGGAGGAGGAGGAGGAGGAGGAGGAGGAGGAGGAGGACGAGGAAGAAGAAGAAGAAGAAGAAGAAACATAACATGTGGGATCCGTGCACCTCCAGGACCTCTATGACGCCGCTATAGAAGTGTGGCTTCGACCACCTCCCCTGAGACCCCAAACAGGCCTTCAAGATGCGCCCCAAGAGACTCCAAGAGACATTTAAGAGGTCCCTGGTAAACAACCCAGGAAACCTGGTGGCTTTGACCAAAGGCTACTGTTGAAGTTTTTTTTGGTATGTCCTGATTCAATTCGTCTCGCATATTCAGCCCTTTGATCACGATCGGGAAGCCCGACCCATCCCAGCGCGCGGCGCGCGCCCTGTTGGTCCAGAGCTTCATCGACCTCCCCCATCCCGATCGATCGACAGATCGGCGGATCAGCGGCATGATCGAGTGATGATCGACGGACCAGGACCTTCTAGGCCACGCTCCTTGTTGTGGATCCCGCAGATCATGCCCTCGTAGAGCTCCTCGGCAGGCTTCACCCAGAACGTTGCACGGCTCTTCATCTTGACCAGCTGGTATGCGGTGACCTGTCGGTGGCGTGCAAACATGGATTGGCGATCCATGGATTTGGCGCGCGGTCGCCAAATCCATTGATCGGGGGAGGTGCCCTCCTAAAATGCGGCCGGTGCCGCCTCGCTCGGCGGCGGAGATCCGCGATTTCCCATGGAAACGGGGCCCGTCGCTAATCCAAGCTCCCTTGGTCCATGTTTGCGATCGCCTGAACCTTGCCGGCGGACGCGGAGACCACCGAGCCAGCTTCACGGAACTTGAGGCCGTCCCCCTGGTACGGGCCGTACTCGGCGAATCGCGAGTTGAGCACGGCCTGCCCGATGGAGGAGGTGAGGTAGACGTAAAGATACGCTGACAGTGACCAGCGCCCGAACAAGGGGAGGAGGAGGAGGAGGAGGAGGAGGAGGAGGAGGAGGAGGAGGAGCAGGAGGAGGAGCAGGAGCAGGAGTCAGCACGGCCTGCCCCTTGGTGCGGCGCATGAGGACGCCCTGCATGCCGATCAGATTGCGGGTGGGAATCTTGAAAGACATGATCATGCTGCCCTCCCCAGCGCCAGCCTCCATGTTGACCAGCTCGGCGCTTTTCTTCTGCATCTCCTCCATGACGGTGCCCTGGTACTCGGTGGGTGTATCGACCACTACGTCCTCGTAGGGCTCGAGCTTCTCGCCTGTCTCCGGGTCGGTGAGCGTGATGACCTCTGGCGGCCCGATCATGACCTCGAAGCCCTCGCGCCTCAGGTTCTCGATAAGGATCCCGAGCTGCAGGATGCCGCGGGCCTTGACTCTGAACGATTCGGCGGTGCTTCCCTGCTCCACGCGCATGGCCAGGTTGGTCATGGTCTCCTTCTCGAGGCGGTTCTTGATGTGAGAGCTGGTCACCCACTTGGTCTCCTTAGAGGCCTTCTAGATGGGGTCCGAGTCGATGGGGTCGGAGGATCTCGCCGCATCGCCGATGCATCGGCGATGCGCTGGCGGCGTCGGCGATGCATCGGCGACGTCGGCGTGGAGAAAATTAGGCCCCACATCGAGCCGCACCGCCGGTGCATCGGGAATGCATCGGCGACGCGGCGCGATCCTCCGACCCCATCTGCTCCGATCCCCATCTGGGAGGCCTAAACTCCTTCAGCTGCCCAGAGAAGGGCGACATGTTGACCCCAAACTCCATGACGACCGTGGGCTCCTCCACGACGATCGGCGGCAAAGCCTGGGGGTTCGCTGGGTCCACCACGGTGTCGCCTATGGTCACGTCGTCCATGCCCGAGAATGCGCAGATGTCGCCGGCTTTGACCACGTCCACTTCCCTCCTCTGATTGTTGCAGAAGTCCCAGAGCTTGCTGATCTTCGCCTTTCTCACGGCACCCTTGGGACCAAACTGGAAGCCAAGCTCCTGGCCGACTTTGAGGTTGCCAGACCTGATGCGGCCGATCGCGATGCGCCCGATGAACGGGTCGAAGTCCAAGTTCGAGATGAGCATTTGCAGGGGGGCACGGGTGTCTACCATGGGTTTGGGGCACTCCTCGCGAGCTGTAACACACATCCATATCCATGCGCTTACAGTCTGGACGCCGAAGCACGACCCGATGGATACGCGGTCCCATAGATGCGTTCCGCGCGGGACACCCGCGCAAAGCCGCCTTGTATCCATGGGTTCGCGGCCGAGTCCAGACCGCGAGGCCGTGGATATCGATACGTTTCCCGCCCGCGCACTCCTCAAGGATCTGGTCGAGGATCGGAGACAAGTCTTTCTCCAACGAGTCTGGGCCATCTCTCGATGCCACACCCAAGAAGCCCGAGGCGTAGCAGACCGGAAAGTCACAGAGCTCGTCGTCTGCACCGAGGGAGGCGAACAAATCGAAGGTGGTGTCGAGCACCCAATCGCACCGTGCTGCAGGCTTGTCGACCTTGTTGATGACAACGATGACCTTGCGACCAAGCTTCAGGGCCTGCTTCAGCACAAACTTGGTCTGAGGCATTGGGCCCTCCTGCGCGTCAACCAGGAGGAGGCAAGCGTCCGCCATGTTCAGAATTCGCTCGACTTCGCCACCGAAGTCTGCGTGCCCAGGGGTGTCGATAATGTTGATCTTGACGCCTTTCCACTCAACAGATGCGTTCTTGGCCAGGATCGTGATGCCCCGCTCCGACTCGATCTGGTTGCTGTCCATGGATCCGATGCTATCATCGTTGGAGGTCTGTTTCATCAGCGCGTTCGTAAGCGTGGTCTTGCCGTGATCGACGTGCGCAATGATAGCAATGTTGCGGATGTCTTCGCGCTCGAGCACCTCGCCCACTGTGGCCTTCTTTGCGAGGTCAAGATTTGTGTACATATCCACCATGGGTGCTGCGGATACTCAGGCCGGAATATATCCGTATCTAACGCTCCCCGAGGTCCACCCGGAGATCAGGTCCCCAGGCGGTGAAACTGTACAACGCGACTGGGTCATGGGAGAAATATAAAGTAGGAAGGCGGATAAATTAGACTGGCGTAGGACCTAACCACATGCAGTTGTGAGTACTGCAATTGTGAATATCTTCTTCGGTGGCGCTCCCTATGGGACCACGAATCCTGTGAGGGGTGTGCCGACATGGGTGCGGCGAACGCAGGCGGACGGTGGCACTGGGGCCTTCGGTGGAGCTCCCTTTGGGGCCACGAAACGTGTGAGGGGGGGGCCAAAGTGGGCAGGGGGACACATGCGGACGGTGGCACTGGGGCCTTTGGTGGAGCTCCCTATGTGGCCACGAAACGAGTGAGAGGTGTGCCCAAATGCGTGTGGCGGACGCATGTGGACAGTTCTACTGGGGCTTTAGGTGGAGCTCCCTATGGGGCCACGAAGCGTGCGAGGGGTATATCGGAATGGGTGGGGGACGCATGTGGACGGTACCTTTGGGGCCTACGGTGGGGATCCCAATATCCCTACGGGGCCACGAAACGTGTAAGGGTGTGCCGAAAGTTGTGCGGGGACCGCATGCGGACGGTGCCACTGGGGCCTTCGGTGGAGCTCCCTACGGGGCCACGAAACGTATAAGGGGTGAGCCGGAATGGGTGTGGCGGACGCATGTGGACGGTGCCATTAGGGCCTTCGATGGGCCCCCTATGGGGCCCCGAAACGTGCGAGGGGCGTGCCTAAGTGGGTGTGGCGGACTCGTGTGGACGGTGCCGCTAGGGCCTACGGTGGAGCTCCCTATGGGGCCATAAAAAACGTGTGAGGGGTTTGCCGAAATGGGTGTGTGGATGCATGTGGACAGTGGCACTGGGGCCTTCGGTGGAGATCTCTATGGGACGAAACGTGTGAGGGGTGTGTCGAAGTGGGTGGGGCGGACGCATGTGGACGGTGGCACTGGGGCCTTCGGTGGAGCTCCCTATAAAGCCACGAAGTGTGTGAGGGGTGTGCCGAAATGGGTGTGGCGGACGCATGTGGTCGGTGCCACTGGGGCCTTCGGTGGAGCTCCCTGCGGGGCCACGAAACGTGTGAGGGGTGTGCCGAAACGTGTGGCGGCCGCATGTGGACTGTGCCTTTTGGGCCTTCGGTGGAGCTCCCTATGGGGCCACGAAACGTGTGAGGGGTGTGCCGAAGTGGGTGGGGCGGACGCACTCGGACGGTGGCGCTGGGGCCTTCGGTGGAGCTCCCTATGGGGCCACGAAACGTGTAAGGGGTCTGCCGAAATGGGTGTGGCGAACGCATGTGGTCGGTGCCACTGGGACCTTCGGTGGAGCTCCCTGCGGGGCCACGAAGCGTGTGAGGGGTTTGCCGAAACGTGTGTGGCGGACACATGTGGACGGTGCCTTTGGGGCCTTCGGTGGAGCTCCCTATGGGGCCACAAACATGTGAGGAGTGTGCCGAAATCGGTGTGGCGGACGCATGTGGACGGTGGCACTGGGGCTTTCGATGGAGCTCCCTATGGGGTCACGAAGCGTGTGAGGAGTGTGCCGAAAAGGGTGTGGCGGACGCATGTGGTCGGTGCCTCTGGTGCCTTGGGTGGGGTCCCTATGATGTCACGGAGCTTGTGCGGGATGTGTCGACATGGGTGTGGCGGACGCATGTGGACGGTGCCTGTGGGGCCTTCGGTGGAGCCCCCCATATGGAGCCACGAAGCGTATGAGAGGGGTATGCCGAAATGGGTGTGGCGGACGCGTTCGCACGGTGCCATTGAGGCCACGAAACGTGTAAGGGTGTGCCGAAATGGGTGTGGCGGACGCATGTCGACTGTGCATTTGGGGCCTTCGGTGGAGCTCCCTATGGTGCCACGAAACGTGTGAGGGGTGAGCCGAAATGGGAATGGCGGACGCATGCGGACGGTGGCACTGGGGCTTTCGGTGGAGCTCCCTATGGGGCCACGAAGCGTGTGAGGGCTGTGCCGAAATCGGTGTGGCGGACGCACTCGGACGGTGGCGCTGGGGCCTTCGGTGGAGCTCCCTATGGGGCCACGAAGCGTGTGAGGTGTGAGGGGTGTGCCGAAAAGGGTGTGGCGGACGCGTGTGGTCGGTGCCACTGGGGCCTTCGGTGGAGCTCCCTATGGGGCCACGAAGCGTGTGAGGGGTGTGCCGAAATGGGTGTGACGGACGCATGTGGACGGTGCCACTGGGGCCTTCGGTGGAGCTCCCTGTGGTGCCACGAAACGTGTGAGCGGTGAGCCGAAATGGGAATGGCGGACGCATGTGGACGGTGCCTATGGGTCCTTCGGTGGAGCTCCCTATGGGGCCACGAAACGTGTGAGGGGTGTGCCGAAATGGGTGTGGCGGACGCATGTGGACGGTGCCACTGGGGCCTTGGGTGGAGATCCTTATGGGGCCACGGAATGTGTGAGGGGTGTGCCGAAATGGGTGTAGCGGACGCATGTGGACGGTGCCTATGGGGCCTTGAAACGTGTGAGGGGGCTAAGCCGAATTGGGTGTGGCGGACGCATATGGACGGTGCCACTAGGGCCTTCGGTGGAGCTCCCTATGGGGCCACGAAGCGTGTGAAGTGGAGGAGGAGGAGGAAAGAAGGAAGGAAGGAAGGAAGGAAGGAAGAAGGAGGAGGAGGAGAACGCGGGGACCGTCTCTTCAAAACGAGGACACCACAGGATGGTTAGGAAATAGACTGGCTTCGGAGCCGCCCGAAGAATGGCAAAAACAACAAAGACATGCCGACTCTTGAAATAGGAAGGCGCTTAAAGTACATTGGGATCTGGAAATCCAGAAGTACCTACCCCAGATGGTACAAGAATCGCCCCCCCCCCCCCTTGAATCCGCTGGGGAGGTTGAGCACGTGCTGTCGGCATGGGTGGAGGGGGGTTGGAGGAAGAGGGAGAGAGAGAGAGAGAGAGAGAGAGAGAGAGAAAGAGAGAGAGACTCCCGCGGTCGCAGGTCGCCCGCTCGGGGGCCGCCGCGCCCGAGCGCCCGCGGCCGCGGGCACTCAGCGCGGGAGCTAGCGGCGTCGCCAGCTCGGCGCTCGGCGCCTGCGTCTCGTCGGGCGCTGCCCGCAGCCGCTGCGGCCTAACCCCTCGCCGCGCAGGGGGTCAGGCGGCTAGGGCGGATCGCCCCGGCCGCCTCCGCGCCGCCCCTGGGAGATACTTCCAGGGCCACAGGCGCCGTGCAGGGAGTACTCCGCGTAGTACTCCACGTAGTTGCGTCAGCAGCTCCCTTCGTCGCATCGGGCGCTGCCTGCTGCCGCTGCGGCCTAACCCCTCGCCGCGCAGGGGAGTGGCGGCTAGGGCGGATCGCCCCAGCCGCATCCACGCCGCCCCTGGGAGACACATCCAGGGCCACAGGCGCGGTGCAGGGAGTACTCCTCGTAGTGCCACGCGACGTAGCGCCAGCAGCTCCCTGTGGCACTTCGGCCGCTGCCAACAGCCTCTGCGGCCTAACCCCTCGCCGCGCAGGGGGCAGGCGGCCAGGGCGGAGTGCCCCAGCCGCCTCCGCGCCGCCCCTGGGAGGCACATCCAGGGCCACTGGCGCATTGCAGGGGGTACTACGCGTAGTACCCCTCGTCGTGGCGCCAGCATCTCCCTGTGTCTCGTCGGGTGCTGCTGGCCGCCGCTGCGGCCTAACCCCTCGCCGCGCAGGGGGGAGGTGGCTAGGGCGGATCGCCCCAGCCGCCTCCGCGCCGCCCCTGGGAGACACATCCAGGGCCACAGGCGCCGTGCATGCCGTACTCCACGTAGTACCCCACGTCGTGGCGCAAGCAGCTCCCTGTAGCTTGCTCTCATGATCAGCTCGTAGCCCGCGCTGCCCCTGGCTGGGCGCCTCCATTGCCGCTGGCTCCGCTCTTCTTTTCGTCGTACTCCTCGTAGTACTTGTCACCGCAGCCACCTCTGCGCGGCCTCGCGCAGCATGTTTCTCGCTGTGGTGATTGCCGCTGAGCGCCTGGGCGCCCACGAATACCTCCAACTTCTGCTGCTCGAGGAACCCGCTTGCCCTTCCCATGGGATTCGGCCCATGGTCCTTCTGCCCGCTCTCCGTACGTCGTCCCGATGCCGCTTGAAAAAGGGCCCAGCGACTTGGCTGCCGTGCTCGTCCTCTCAGCTGTGCACCTCCATCAGGCGGGTGAGGCCCTGCTCCTGCCTCCTTTCCGCCGCGACCGCTCGGTTGGGGCCCTGCTCCTGCCCCCTTTCCGATGCGATCCCTGGCGAGGTCGCTGTCACCGTCAGGTGGTTGAGGCCCTGCTCCTGCCTCCTTTCCACCTTGGCCGCTCGGCTGAGGCCCTGCTCCTGCCTCCTTTCCGATGCGGCTGTAGCGTGCACCGTCCTCATCCCCGACTCCGTTTTCGTCAGGCACGGGTAGGGGATCGCCACGAGGTTGTGCTGCAAGGGGCCTCTCCAGGAACGTGGCTACGCTGAGATACCTCAGGCTCACTGGGCGCCAAGTACTCGGTGGTCGTTCCCGTTCCCGTGCAAGCATTTCCCCCATTGTGTGGATCGGCTGCTTCAGAGACTGCGTGTCGCGTGCGTCCAAGGATCGTGTTGTTGTCATCGTCCTGCTCGCGCTTCGCCTTTTCCTTTGCCTTAATCCTTTCCATCATTGCTGCCATCTTGTGCTCGTACCCCGTGTCCTCCGCCATCGCCACAGGGCGTGCGACGCAAGTCTTCGCGATCATCGGGGGCAGGACCTTAGGCGTGATCCTACCCAGGGGGATCGCCATGTCCATACGCCTCGCCAGCGTCTTGTGCGGGCCCAAACCCCGTCGCAGATTCGTCGGCACTTCTATGCCTTGTCGGGCTGGCGGCTTGCATTGCCTCCTGAGCTTCTGCCGTCGGCGTTGTTGCGCCCAGGCACCACAGCCAACACAAACAAAGACCGTAGGGACCGCGTCATCGC